TTCACCTCCACCTGAAGCTGCAGTATTCCCAAAACATCACCTTCGCTGTGTAGTTCGACGAAATCACCGATCGAGCGACACAGGTTTTTGATGAACTTCCATCCCGAGAGAGACGTATTAGATATCGCTTGCCGTTGGCAGGACGTGGTTACGAAGACGAAGCCGGGATTTAGCGGGTGTTTGCATTTTTTTTCGGGGCGTACACCGTATCGTCAATGTGGTGTGCTCTGTTGCTCCGGGCCGCACAGCCAAACAAAGATTTAGAGCTTCGGCGGGTTGCAGTCGCAAGAGCACAACAGCGATGCTGTTATTTATGGTGAGCTACACAGAACAACGGAGTATTTAATAGAACATGATGACGTGCGGGTGTCATGTATTGGCCTCTAAATTGGTCGTGATGCCGCAGCCAGGGACTTAATTCATCTCAGATCACTATCGCGCTTCATCACATGCTCAATCTAGTTAAAGTCAAATAAAGAATCAGTGTCAGTAATAACAGTACACTTCTACACTTCCCGCAGTAACACTCTTTCGTTCGTCTGATCGCCCTCGACACGCAGACGACGCCGATGCCACCACCACCACGATATAAGCGTGATCACAGTCAGAGGCACAGACACCGCCCAGAAGATCCAAAAGTCTGACGAGAGGATGAGTGTCCCGTTCGTCCCGTCGCCCGAGGGTTGGGTTGTGAAGAACCCCATTCCAAACAGTGTCTATCATTTCGAGCATGGTCAGCTTACACGCCAGGCATCATAGAGTCAGTCTCGCATACTTACAGAAACGAAAGTTGCCGGCAGAAATGTCATCGTCACTACCGCAATGGCCCTCATCGCCGCAGCTTCCTTGGCGGCATCGCTGCCGATCTGCACATGTATCTTGGTGTCACTCTGCGTCGCCACATGGAATGCCTGATGCCGTTAGTGATGCAGTTCTGAAGCGAGATGGACATCGATACTCACCAAGGTGATTTCGTTCTGTATGCGAGTGTCCGTCGCAAAGGAGCGATCAGTCAGTCCCTGCAGGACTCGGAGCTGGAACGAAAGCTTGTCGCCGATGTCGTCCCAGGCTTCAAACGCTTTCCCGCTGTCACTGCTGAGACTGTTGAGGAAGGAGCGTGACCGTGAGTACTGAGCGCAGATCGTATCAACGGTTCGTGTCGCTACTGTCAGTGATTCAGCGACATGCGTGCTGTGTCGCGCAATCTCGTGCAGGACGGCGTAGTCAACGACTTCGTGGGCTCTCCTCTGCTGTGATCAGCTTGTTGAGCACACCAATTGTTCATCATAAATGACATACAGCCTCGCGGCGACTGATCTGGTTCCGGATCGACCAGACGGAGTCGTCATACGACCGGGCGACACCTTCCACGGCGATGGCAAGAATGGAATACGGAGAACTACAGTGTCGCAGGTCCTGTGCGTCCGAGTCGGCCAGTCGTGCTTTGATGTAGCCGAGCGTGCGGGACGGCAGATCGAAACACACGCACGTCCTCGCGCCCGATGCCTCCCAACGCGTGAAGAACCACATTTCGTGCCATTCCCATCCGTGCTGTATGGTATGCGGTCCGTGCAGACCCCGGTGAGCGCTGGTGTCACCGCCCTTTTCATCGCTCCGCGGGACATAGGGGGTGAAGATCTTCTTCGGCGTCAGATTTTCGAATGTCTGTTTAACAATAAATCGACACCAGTGCGCTGATGGGGAAATGTTATGTTGTGTTCTCACATGACGGGGGTTGTGACCGGTGTAGATGCTCACTGTATGAGTGTGGCTGCTCCCTTCTATCGTGCCGGACATGATGCCCGGCGAAGCCATTCGACTCTAAGTATATCTGCTCCAGCAGATACCTCGGGAGGTCTAGCTTGCGTAGAACATTCTCCTGCACAACGAGGGGCAGATCAAGCAGCGATGTGGTCGTGGCAAATCTAACGTTGTCTTAGTCGCTGAACAGCCAACATCGACGGGTCTCATCGTCGAGAACATACACGACCTGGTCTTTAGCTGCATCAGAGACCTGTAACTGGATGAGCTTATCGCGCATTTGCTTGTGAGATGTCGATTGCTAGCCATTCGGACCATAGCATCTGTCTAGACACATGGCCATGTGGTACTCCGAGGTCTAGCTTCCAATGTCAGTGGATAAGATGAACAGAGGCAGTCGATCTATGTTATGACACACCAATCTGAGTGACACAATATCCGTCCATGGCGATGTTCGAATCTATAGCATACGACTGAATAGGGCATCATTCTCTTATTTGAGCTTTCTGATGTCCGTACATTCTTCTAAGGACGCCCCGCTGGAAAGTGCCGTGCGGGGCCGCCTCCAGGCAGACATGCAAGGCGCACCCGTGATCTGTGTTTCGATGTCATTACTCTGACTCCATGCAGAATTGGTCTCCAATATATCCTGCTCTTCGGTGGTGTGACCATCAGATAGGGTAAGCCACACCGTGCGACGACGCAAATATTGGTCAGCTTCCACAACAATCAAACGTTTTCGTCAACGGCACGTGCTGCAGCTGACTAATGGAGGATCCTGCAATCGGACCAATTCGAGTTTCTGGTGGATTCAACGAGAGGCCAGTGTTTGCCCAAGCGGCTGCGGTTAGCGCCAACTCGGAACCAATAGATCGGCTGATGCATGGCTTTGTGGAAAAGGCCGGCGAGAGACGTGTCGGCACCTGATCACAGCCCAAACCCTCATATCTCGCCGCAATCCACCCCCGAGACTTCAACGCGTCATAACTCCATCAATACTTCCCCTTTTTTAATGATTTGTGGATATTTATGATCGTGACAACTTGATCTTGAAGTGTTTATAACGGTGTATCAATATGACGTGTTGTGGTGGTGCTACTATTTCGTGAAGCTGAGAGCGTGGATATTGCGACGATGCCAAAGTCGAAAAAGCCGAAAGTGCCGAGGAAGCAACAGCAGACGGCTCACCTCAACACACCACGAAAGAACAGAGCACACGGTGTAATTGACGCCTTTCTACACCTTAAGAACAAGCAGCCAAGTCAAAAAGAACTCTCAGATATCTGTAGCATTACTGCCTGGCAGGCTAGGGCCGTCAAAAAGCAGCACAAGCATGGCGATTTTAGAGATCGACGCTCATATGCCCCTGGCACCGACCCTCGGAGCCATAGAGACCCCAAGATTGACGGTATTCAAGAGCAGGCTATGGTCGATTCAATCAATCATAATGGCTTCGAAGGCCATGCTCGATCTCACGGTGAAGTAATGATGGATGTTGATGTAAATGCTCATCCAAATACTATCTCTAAAGCACTGAAGAAGCATGGCATTTATAGAAGAAAAGCCGCACAGAAGCCATTCATCAATGACAGTCTGGCTGCTCTCAGGGTTGAGTACGCCGAGTATATGCTAAAGGAGTACCCAACAAAGGAGCACTGGAGGAGGGTTAGATTCAGCGATGAGGTTCACTTCGGATATCAACCTCAGCAATCAGAGTATATCTTTAGAGCCGAAGGCCAGAGGGACCACCCTGATTGTATCCAGAGGGTTGATAAGGAGCTCCTGAAGTTAGACGACGAGTTGGAGAATGAGAATGCTCACTGCTGGGCTGCAGTTGGATACAACTTCAAGAGCGAATTGGTACAATATAAGATACCTACTACTCGCAATGGCAAGATGACTCTAGAGGTGTATAAGGGCATCCTCGAGAAGTACGTTAAGCTATGGATTGAGGCCGGCCACGATTTCGTGCTCGAAGAAGATAGTGACTCTGGCTATGGAGCACATAACGACCCTATGAAGAGGTTCAAGACGGCTATAGGCCTTACGTGGTTCTTCAACTGTGCTGGATCTCCAGAGCTAGCATCTATTGAGAACTGCTGGCAGCCTCTTAAGCACTATGTGAAAAAGCATAGCAGGAGGACGACGGCGGATCTATTCGAATTAGCTGTTGAGGCCTGGCAGGCTCTGTCACAGGACTCGATTAATGCCTGGATCGACTCTATGCCTGAGAGGTTGAGAGCAGTAATCGAGGCAAAGGGCCAATTCATCTCTGATAAGAAGTGTCTGTCAGCTTACCTTCGCGAAAAAAGAACATAACGACTAGCCATAGGTAAATTACCATGTCGCAATATGTTATAGAACTATTCAATAGCTTCATTTCTATCGCAGAATATATTGATTTCATCCAGTGGTTGTTGAGATATCGTGTGTTGAACTCGACGTGGTGGACAGATTGGTAGAAAGTGGTGGAAAAATGAGGGTTTGGGTTGTGGACACGTGGTCGGGCATTGATATCGATGATTTCGCCCGTCTTTGCGGGTACGCTTGTTGCGGAGACTATATTACTGAGTTCATACTAAGTTACTGGTTGAGGAAGGCGGGGAATTTTGCGAGCGTTTTGTGCACCACTATGCTGACTCATTACACATTTTCGCGGACCTCACCTACGCAACCTTGTCAGAAATGGAGGTGCTTAACCAGAGCCTCAACATGGCGGCAAGCATTCTGATCATTATCGCAACCCTAGCCGCGCTTTCCAGAGAAATCCTTCAGCGCCGACGTCGAAGCAATGAGTACGTTGTGAAGCAATCGCACGGCGAAAATGGGCTGACTGACGACGTCGACATAACTTTCTGATGGGCATGTCTTGAAGACGACAGCGTGTTCTCCCGCATGATGCATTAGGCGAACACGCCGAAGAATGGAACAGGCGGGCACGAGTCGGACATCCAGATTGTAGGGTTGAGCTTATCGAGGTCGATCTTCAAGTCTTCAACCCTAGTCACCATACGCATGCACCGTCGCCATACCTCGTGCCTCGTCAACACACTACCGCGTGGCCATGAGATAAAGCACATACTGTCTCACGTTTACGATAGCGCCCATATGACGAGACGAGAGTGAGCGGAGATCAGGTACTTAGAAGAATACAGATCATATCAGAGCTAGAGAAAGCTGAAGTAATTACAAACAAAGATATTCCAACGAGTGAAGTATTGTGTCTCTGCTCGCTACATTACATCGCTAGGAGCACGTGGTGAAGTATAAATTTAGGGGTTGTGAGTTTGCCAAGCGTAACTAGTGCACGAATTGTCGAATAAATTACCACATTCTAGCTATTGGTGGTCGGTATTCCTTGAGTGTGCAATTCTGTGTATCTTCTTTGTACCCTTAGTGAGTCAGTACTAGTCGGCACCACATCCGAGGTTTCGTTAGTGGCATTGCGGTCTACCGCCTGAGTTCTCGATCTGCGCTTTGCGATTGGCCTCGCGTCTCGAAGTGCCCGCCCATCTCTTGCTTTCTCCAGATCCTTATAGCTCATCACTCTCGCTGTCCCGATGACTTTGGATCTCGTTGAGCGTCGTACCCGAGCTTCGCTGTTCGACTTTTGCAGAAACTCGTTGCGCCGCTCGAGCAGTATGTGCTCGCCGAATGAAGTCTCGGCTGCTTTTGCTAATTTCTGTACATACTTCTGCAAGCGGCGCTGGGAGCCGCTGTCTAAACCCTGTGTATCACGCCGGATCACGTCGTGCAAGGTAAGTATGCCTGCAAGATCCACCGGAGTCACTGGTGTCACAGGTATCATCGGAGTGGATGGAACGCTTGGTATTGGCCGCGTTCGTATGTTGGCATCCTGCTGGCCCACCGGATCTCCATGGACCGATTCTGCTATGGTAGGAGGCGCAGCACTGCGCGGCAGATCACGAAGCACTCTTTCGGGACAGAATGGGAATAGACCTGCCTTCGCCCATCCTGCGCGGATGTTTCGGGGCGTGAACGCGATCTGACGCGCATGACAATACAACATGGCAAAGTGTTCTTTGCCGATCGTTCCTACACCGCCTCGCTCAAGCCGTTCGACCTGATCACGATATGCCGCTTTGAGGGGACCGAAGATGGAGATATCACACGGTTGCAGTTTATGGGACGAGTGGGACGGCAAGCGACAAAGTACGATCTGGTGCCGAAGAGCGAACTCGAGGATCTCGAGGGTTTCATGGGTGCCAAAGCCGTCGCAGATCAACACACGTGGTCGCTGCCCCGCTCGGTCTCTCGTCTGCGGCTCGAATACAAGACGAAGCCACTGCAGGCTGAGATATGAGTCTGTACATCCGCTGTCGGAGTAGGCATAATGCAATCCAGGCGTAGGATGAGTGACCCAATTCGCTCGGTGGGTGGCCGCGGGCCAGATAATCATAGGATGTAGATATCGCCCGTCAGCACTCACACATTCGACTGCTGTTACGGTCGTCCGCTTCACACGTGCGACTCGACAGCCGTGCTGGTTCGTTCTATCCATGATGACTCTCACAGAATTCCGCTTTGACAGCATTACACCCATCTCGTCCATGTTATACACGTTCTCCGGTAGGACTTCCGGGTCCTGTAGCACACCGGCGATCACGTCAAACCATTTCACCACTTTCTCATAGATGTCAAAGCGGTTCCAGTCCATCGCGCTGCTCTTGCCAGCCTTCAAGATGTTAGAGTACCGCTTGCAGAAGGATTGCGACCAGTTCTTGCCCGGAGGCTTGCTCAGTCTTTCCGCGACAACACGTGAGCATGCTAGACTG